AGTGAAACAAGGTGCAGGTGACAGTAAGATAACTGCATACCCAAACACATTTGAGGATTGGGGGTGGCGTGGTTGTGATTGGAAACTTGCGGGATCTTGGTGCAAGTGCTACAATGAAAATCGTGATCAGCGGAAAACTGTGTGGTCCTTGCCAAACAGAGATGCCCCTACACATAAAGCATCAACCAAAACCGCTGCAAAGAAGGCAGAAGATTAATGTCTCCGAAGTACACCGCTGGAAAATAGAAATTAAAAACGAAAGAAACTTTAAATTTTGACGCACTTACGTAATTATTGAAATTTGGCACACTTAAAGTTAGAAGTATGCATGTGTCTCATTTTGTCTGAATAAAGGATTGAATGTGTACATGTCTCCACATTTGATAGCACCCACGCCCTGTTTGCGTAGAGATCGTACTGAAAAGCTATTTTCCTAAGAATGAGAGAGAAAGACAGAAATAACTACTCTTAAAATGTAGTATCGATTCAGATTGATCTAAAGGGTATCGACTGAAGTCTCATCCAGGTTTGCGTAATTTAATGTTTCAAAAAAAGAGGCCATAAAAGAAAAATAAATAAAAAAAAATTGAATAATCGCTAAAAGGATTAGTCGCCTCCCATGACACGTTCGAGCCTAAGCAAAATCCAGACGGATTTTCCTTCCTTTATTTAGATCCTTTTAACCTGGAAAATGGCTGAAATCCATTTCCGAGTTGATATTCCGACCCCTTTTCCGAGGGAAAAATTACTAAATGCTGATCGGCTTAGACAAAGGGCATTTATCGCTATCGGACATTATTTAAAGAGTATTTCAACGCTGACTAAAACAAAATCACAAGAGTTGTGAGAGATTTGTAAGTGTAAACGGAAAGTTTCCCCTTTTTTTACGTCATCACCTGCTAACTCGTTACCAAACTATGGGACAATTTTAAGACAAAATGAAAGCACTTTAGGGCCCCAAAATAACCGAGCCTTACTTTTTAGGAATTTTTCTCCTGTTGAAATCGGTTTGTTCATTCGTACACTCCTTAAATTGAAAACATTCGAAAAGACTTAACTTTGCCTAAAAGTACTACGGTGGAACCCCTCTAAAACGTACACCCTTGGGACCGGAGGAAATGTCCAGTTTAGAGGGGTGTCCGGTGTACTGAGGTTTTACCCATAAGGCAATTTTATACCGCATATTGTATTGTCTGACTATAAGTACCAGAACATGGTACACGAGTAACAATAGAGCACATCAGTAAAGGAACAAACAACATGGATCACAAGGAAGCTTTTCAACGTCACTTTATCTAATTTGCAAAAAAATTCAGTGTTACACACAGGTTAATATGATTGCCGCTTTAAAATCATTTAAACATGAAATGTTCAAGATTCTCTTTCTAAATTTCCAAGATGCTTTTGGAAAAAGGAATCCAATGTTAACTGCATCTGATTACAGATGTTGTTGACGTTGTTCAACTATTTTTCTTTTGGTTAAAGGTTTATGTTTTAAAACAACGAGGTTTCTGCAACTTTCCGCACACCAACGGCTCGAGCTTTTCACCAGTGGTACTATACGCAAAACATGGTTGTAACTCTCTCGGTAAAATTTCATTGACGGAGAATTTTTTTTTTATCAAGGCTGGCTTCATTGCTTCAGCGTTGTGGTAAAAAATTAAAATTTGATTCAGCTAATTCGTGCGTTTTACAGTTAATTGACTCTAACTGGAAACTGAAATGGCTTCCTACGAAACAGAGCAACAGCGTGCGTTTTTTACCTTCTTAGTGAAAGGAAATTTTGCCCTTTATATTGTAAACAAGAGGTCGCACGTTTCCTCGTAAACTTAAGGATACATATCTTTAATAATCCTGCGCGACTCGGGCAATTTCCTCTACTTCTGAAAACACAAGTGATTTTTGTCTAAATTTTACTCAGCCCATGCAATTACTTATACAAATTCACTCCTTCCATTCTTGCCTTCCACTTTATTTTCTGAGGTCATTAGCTCGCAACCTCTTAGTTGATTATTATTTTTTTCTCTTTGTTATATTCTTGTATATGGGCGTCTATTAACGATTTTTACCCAAAACGGCACAAAAAGGAAAGATACCAAAACTACCTGTCTAAAGAAAGTTTAAGTGGGAATTGCAAACTGACCACAGAAGTTGAGCGGAGAAGCAGGCCGCGACGAACGCTAACTATACCGTTAAAAGTCTTCTTATTTTCTAAGTGGCAGATCATAACTAATAACATAATAACAAAGGATCTAAGAGAAGGTAGGAAATTCATTCTGGATCTGGTCAGATACTGACACACAAAAAAAGAAAAGGACTCAATAACTTTACATGATTAAACTACCACAGGAATAGGGAAAGAATACAACAGTTTAATAAGAATAACTGGTGAAGCATAAACATCGTAAATTTATTTATAGATGTAAAACAGTATCAGCAGTACCTGTGAAAATTATGTGATGAAAATTAAGTTGTAAGACGCCATCATATCGAAAAGAGACTCGGCGATGTCATACCTGCATCAAAAAGTTCAGTTAGAGATGAATTATTCCTGGGAAAAAAATTTTTGGATAACTTAAACGAAGAACTAAAAGCATCTGGTGAAAATAAACCTGCTCCTCAAAATATGCCTCATTATTTGATATTTAACATCGCTGAACGGCACATTGGTGAGTTTTGTACAATTACGAACAGTTTTTTAGACTAGTTGTCTTGTTAGGCACCTAAAAAACCTGTGTAGAGCGCGTAACACAAGCCAAAAACACCCTTTCTACAACAACCAGTTACGACTCGACTCGCGGAAGAACGATGTAGCGAAATAGGTGACTACTCCCACAAGCAGACGGCATTTTACTAATTAATTCAACTGAGAAGAAAACCAATGTAGTCTGCAATAATAAAAGTGAACGTAGAACAGACTGAAAGACTCGCTGTATATTACTTCTTTCGTTTTGTAGACGTTTTCTGTTATTGTTTGTTTTGGAGCATCATATTTTGTTTTTTAGTTGAAAGATAAATTCTTAGATGTGTTACGTATTTGTACTTCACAAATTGTTCGCAGTGTTCTATACTATCTAGCTTGATCTTTCTTGTTTCTTTTTTTTTTAATTTTCTTTCCTAATGGTACGGATTCATGTGCCAGAAAAAGCGTTTTTGGAAAGAGCAATTTCCCACCCGCATTACCTCCCTCTAAAGGCCACCTCTCTACAATGGCCACTTTCATCTGTTCAAGGTGGCTGTTCTAGAAAGGTTAGAATGTACTTCAATTATTAACAGAATGTTAAGTGGACCGTTTTGTAAAAGAGGTTATCATTTTACGGTCAAGTTACATCATATTAAAACACGGGTTCCTGCCCAAATCAACCGGTTTAGATTTTCCCGATCCGCCTAATTCCTGTATGCTTTTTTCAGATGTCAATTAATAGCACAGTTTGGACAGCTTGAAACTAAAAAGTGCACAGATCAGGGGGATTACCAGCAAAACTCACTCATACAGGCCAACGAACTGGTGGAGTTTTGTTTTCACCATGGCACCTTTTATTCTATCAGCGGTCTACATGCAAATTATCCCATGAGCTATGACTTTTAAATTAAGGTGCACTTTCTTCTTTAAAAGACAAACGTTTCTCTTGACATCGACTCATTATGAAGTTCAGGGGATAGAGTGTTTTTGAAGAAACCAAAAGGTAAGTATACTGGAAAGTTTCCCAGAGGCCTACTCTACTAAGAACTACTCCTCTATCTAATGGGATTGGCGATTTTTAAAGTTTTTAAGATACATACACTATTTTTAAGATTTCTAATATAAAAATGTTTGCCCGACTCTCCCGTTCTTTTTTTCGGTTCGTTCTGGCGGTTCAAATCGCCAGGCCTGATTTAAAAAAACAGGCTTATAAGCCCTATCATTATTTTCGCCTTTGATCAAGGTCTCAAAATCTTTGCTATTCCTCACATACAGTCAAAATGTATTTTTCTCGAAGGAGTCTCCAGCAAGTAAATTTACGCGCGCTTTATTTGAACTGCTGCCCTGGCGGCGACTCTGTTAAACGGTTAATTATTCAAGCGGTTGATCTAAAACATCAATTTACAAACAAAACTTTAAAAGTAAGTACAGTACAGCACAGCAAGAGAGAGATAGAGAAAAATGAACTTATCGAATAACAGGTGCATTTGTTGTTGGGTTACGTTAGCTGCACTGGATGCGACTTCAAATGTGATTTACGAATGAACTTATGCTTTTACGAGAAAACTGCTGCAAACGATTAATTTTTAACTTTAAATACTGGTTCAAGTACATTATGCAAAATTGAAAAATTAAAACAACGTAAAAGGAAAACAACAGAGAACTTAAAGTCATGTGCTAACAAAGTGGTGTTTCGATCTTACACACAAATTACACCTTTAGTTACACACTTCATGTCGTGAAATATAAAGCTCCGTTGAATTAACCTACATGGAAATGTTTTCCGAAAATCATTACTTCCGTTCATCTGAGGCAAAGGCGAAGTCTAAGTCTTCGGGCACAAGTTTTTTGCGTCACTTTTTCCAAGATTTGGCTCTTTATCACTCAGTTTAAGCTACAATTTTCGAAAAACAAAAACAAAAAAACCACATTAAGAACGAACTAGAGTATCCTATAAGACCGTGCCTGGCGGTAGTAATCTTGGTGGTTTTGAAACAGTTTATAGAACACATATTTCATACAGCCATTACGGATCAGAAATAGATGATTAGTTCAGTTCAAGGTGAACGCGGTAGCCTATTGGTTAATTCGCCGGTCGAGGAGTATGTATCACAGTGCCTCTCCTAACCCGGGAGTATAGCATTCGAGGTTGGCATTCAGATGGACTGTTATCTCACTCAAGGGGGGGGGGGG